ATGCACTATTTCTCTTTCTCTGTCTGACTTATTTCATTTAACATAATACTCTCAAGGTCCATCCACGTTATTGCACATGGTAAGATTTCATTCTCTTTTAATGGCTGAATAATATTATAAGTGTGTATAACATATTTCAAGGCAAGATTTTTGTGAATATGTTTACACACACACACACATATCATTTTATTTATCTGTTCATCCATCAGTGGACACTTAGCTTGTTTCCATGTCTTAACTACTGAAAATAATGCTGCAGTGAACATGTTGAGTGCATATAGCTTTTTGAGTTAGTGATTTTTTTTTTTTTCCTTCAAAGACCCAGATTGGAATTGTTGAGGCATACAGTAGTTCTTGGCTTTCTCGGTGGCTCAGTCGGTAAAGAGTCTGCCTGCAACGTGGGAGACCTGGGTTTGATCCCTGGGTTGGGAAGATCCCCTGGAGAAGGGAATGGCAACCCACTCCAGTATTCTTGCCTGGAGAATCCCATGGACAGAGGAGTCTGGTGGGCTACAGTCCATGGGGTCACAAAGAGTCGGACACGACTGTGTGATTAACTTTATTCATTTATTTTTTTACAGTAGTTCTATTTTTAATTTTTTTCGGGAATCTCTATACTGTTTTCCATAGTGGTCACACCAATTTACATTCCCACCAATAGTGCACATGGGTTTTCTTTTTTCTACTTCCTCATCAACACTTGTTATTTCTTTGCTTTTTGATGACAGCCATTCTAACAGGTGTGAGGTGATAGCACATTGTGGTTTTGATTTGCATTTCCCTGATTGAGCATCCTTTCAGTGTACCTTTTTGGCCCTCTGTATGTCTTTGAAAAATGTCTGCTCAGATCCTCTGCCCGATTTTTAATTGTAGGTTTATTTTTTGCGATTGGGTTATATGAGTTTTAAAAAAATATACTTTGGATATCAACCCATATAAAATACATGATTTGCAAATATTTTCTCCTATTCAGTAGGTTGCCAGTTCCTTTTGTTGATGGTTTCCCTTGATGTGCAGAAACTTGTTAGTTTGATGTTGTTCCAACTTGTGTGTTGTGGCGTTAGTTGCCTTTGCTTTTGGCTTCAAATCTAAAAAATAAGTCATTGTCAAGACTAATATCAAGAGGCTTACTGCCTATGTTTTCTTTTGGGAATTTTATGGTTTCAGGTCTTACATTCAAGTCTTTAATCCATTTTGAGTTAATTTTGGGGTATTGTGTTCATTTATGGGCATGGTGTAGTGGGCAGAATGTATTGTTGAATCTTGTTTGCTAATATTTCCTTGTTGAGGATTTTTACATCTGTGTTTATCAGGGATACTGGTTTGTATTTTTCTTGTAGCATCCTTTTCTGATTTTGGTATCAAGGTAATGTTGGCTTCATAAAATGAGTTTGGAAGTGTTTTCTCCTCTCTTAGTTTTTTGTAGAGTTTGAGGATTGGTATTAATTCTTTGGGTGTTTGGTAGCCATCTGGTCTCAGACTTCTATTTGTTGTGAGGTTTTTGATGACTGATTCGGTCTCCTTAGTCTAGTAATCAGTCTGTTCAGGTCTTTCTTCTTCGTGATTCGGTGCGGTATGCCGTATGTGTCTGGGAATTTATCTGTCGTCTAGGTTGTCTAATCTGTTGGCATGTAATTGGTCATAGTAGTCTGTCATGAGCCACTGTATTTCTGTGGTATTGGTCAATGTGTCCTCTTTCATTTTTAATTTTATTTGAATCTTCTTTTCTTCTTAGTCTAGCTAAATATTTGTCCATTTTCTTTGTCTTTTCAAAGAAGCAGCTTTTAGTTTTATTAATATTTTCTATTGTATTTTTAGTCTCTATTTCTACTCTGATCTTTGTTATTTCCTAACTTCCATTAGCTTTGGGCTCCATTTGTTCTAGTTACTTGAGGTGTCAATTTAGAATATTTATGAGATTTCTGTTGTGTAGGCATTTATTTTTATGAGCTTTGCTACAGCTCAAGTTTTGGTGTGTTCTATCCATTTTCATTTGTCTGAAGATATTTTTTTTTAATTGTTCTTTTGATTTCTTCTTTGACCTATTGGTTGTTCAACAGCATGTTGTTTAATCTCTGAATTTTCCAGTTTTCTTCCTATAATTGATTTCTTGTTGGGAAAGATGCTTGGTGTGATTTCAATCTTCTAAAGTTTAGAAAGGCTTACTTTGTAGCCTACTATGAATTATCCTGAAGGATGTTCCCTGTACACTTGATAAGAATATGTATTCTGTTTATTTTGGATATATATTCTGTATATATGTGTTTGAGTTTATCTATCTGGTCTAACATGTCCTTTAAGGTTGCTGTTTCCTTATTTTTTTTTTAATCTGGGTGATTTATCCATTGATGTAAGGTGGATATCAAGGTTCCCTATTATTGTATTGCTATCAATTTTTTTCTTTAGGTCTGTTATCATTTGCTTTTATATTTAGGTGCTCCTATGTTGTGTGCATATATATCACAAATGTTACATCTTGTTGGATTTGAGCCCTTTGTCATTTTGTAATGTCTTTTTTGTCGCTTATTACAGTTTTTGTTTTATAGTCTCTTTTTGTTATATAAGTATAGCTACCTCAGGCTTTTTGGTTTCCTTTTGCATTGAATGTTTTTCTATTCTTTTTTGGTCTGTGTGTGTGGTCTGCAGAACTCACATCTGCAGTGAGTCTCTTGTAGGCAGAATATCTTTTTATCCATTCAGCCACTCCATGTCTTTTGGAAAATTTAGTCTATTTAAAGTAATTGATAGGTATGCACTAATTTGTGATTTTGTTCATTGTTTTCTGGCTGTTTTACTGGTCCTGTTTTTAAAGTCTCCCTTATGCTGGTCTAGAACTGTCCCCTAGATGTGCATCTTGAGGGTGAGTCTAGGACTTGCATAGGAGGAGGAGTTAAGTCACTAAGTCGTGTCTGACTCTTGCAACCCCATGAACTGTAGCCCGCCAGGCTCCTCCGTCCATGGGATTCTCCAGGCAAGAATACTGGAGTGGGTTGCCATTTCCTTCTCCAGGGGATCTTCCCAATCCAGGAATCGAACCCTGCATTGCAGGTTCCAGGTCTCCTGCATTGCAGGCAGATTCTTTACCAGGACTTGTGTGGATCCATTCTAAGATGACTGAACATTCCTGAATGTGTGAATTTCAGGAGTAAACCCAAGGAAGTCCTGGGCAAGCTGATACACATTGGTCAGCCCAGTTCACACACAGGATTAGGGGATTCAGAGCCCCTCTGCAGTGCCTTCTTCTCTAGGCTCTCCCTACCCTCTCCTTTCTGCAGGGGCCCGTTCCTGGTTCCTCTGGCCAGAATGGCAGAGTTTATCATGGAGTTTTAGCTGCCCAGTCATGTGGTTCTGGGGCTGGAGCTTTGAGCTTCGCAGGAAACAAGAGGGAGAAATGGGCAGTTCACCCCCTTTGTGGTCACTTCTGTGTTTTGACTACACTCCATAGTCTGCCTACTTTTGTCCATTTCTCAGGGTCTTCTTTTGTATTTTGTCTAGTGTTTTTAGTAGTGATCAGCAGGAGAGAGAGGCTTTTTAAAGCTGGTAAAATGTGTAAGTTTTACCGTCTGAACCGTTTCTAAGTGTACAGCTCAGGGACATTCAGTACATTCACATTATCACGCAGCCATCCTTGCTACCCTCCTCCAGAATGCTTTCATCCTCTCAGATGGAAACTCTGTCCACACTGATACCTGAACTTCTCATCCCTCCCAGCCCCTGGTAATGTTAAAATGTTAAAAGATGTAGGTTTTTAAAGCCACTCTTTGCAAGATGTTTATTAATGTTCCGTTGGCCAAAGCAAGTCATGTGGCCAAGCCCAGCCTGAAGCAGGTAGAGAAATAGGAGGCGTGGCCTGGGTGGCCCTGTGGTGTGGAGGCAGGAGCACCAGCATGGGTCTCAGGAGAGGCCTTGAGTGGAGGAGGTAGGCGGGAGCTCTCAGGGGCTCAGTACTCCTGTCGGTGGGACCCCTCCCCTAGGGAAACCTGACCTCTGATTTCACCCACCTGCTGTATGGGTGGTGGGAGTGGGAGGGATGGGGGTGAGGCTAGGGGTGGGAGGGGGGTTTCAGCAAGGCTCCCCCACCCTCAGCAGTGCTGTGCGCTGTTATGTCTGTTTTCTTTTTCTCTCTGCCTTCTATAACCCCGAAAGACACTCAGGAAATGAACCTCAAAGCCACACTCTGGGATGCCCACTGCTGCTCTGTGCCCACGCAGGTCTGGGTGGGGGCTGGGGGGGGGTCCTGCCCCAGCCCCCTTCCACCCTGTTCCTCCAGGCCACAGGTCCTGGAGGGGCTCAGCTGGTCAGGACACTCTCAGGGGGTGCGGGGGGGCACCTTCAGGACTTCTGGGGCCCGCGGGGGCGCCCACAGAGTTTATTGAGCGGATGCTGGAGGTCCCGTCCGGCCTGCAAGGCAGCCCTTCGGCCTACTGGGTGGCCTTCTCTCCCACCCACTGTTCTTGGCCGCTCCCTGCCCCTCCCCACCCCGTCAGGTCTGTTCCTTCTCTGCCTCCTAGGCTCTTGGCCCTCAGTGACCTGGCTCTTCCGGGTCATTGGGTAGCCAGGGTCCAGCGACTCCAGAGCGGAGAATCTGATTGGCTTAGACCAGCTCCCGGACGGTGTCTCAGCCTATGAGGGGGCTGCCCTGCGCTGAAGCATCTGCCTTGGTTCCATCTGCTGGGGCATCAGGGCCCTGGGGCCAGGACCACCTCCCCGCAGGTGCAATGTGGCCTGCCTTCCATCTTGCTGGCCATCTGTACCGGCTGTGTGGCCGCCAGGAAGGCACGTCCGCTCTCTGAGCCCGGTTTTCGTGTCCCCTGGTTGCACTTTGGATAGAGCTTCAAGGGGGCAGGCTTGGGGAGGCCTGAGTGTGGGGTTCACAGGTCAGGATCAGCACGGTCACTGTGACTCTCCTCGGAGGGGCTGTGTTCTTGGGTCTGTGAGGAGGACTCCCCCCTGGCCCGGCAGCCTTTTGGGGGCTCACTGCCTCTGCCGTTTCTTCCCAGAAGCAGACGAGAAAGGGGGTGGCAGCCCCGCAGTCCCTGAGGACCCCGCACGCCCTGGGCTCCCGCAGCTCCCGCGCCGCCCGCAGCTCCTGGAGGAGGACCAAGCGCCCAGGGAGGAAGCGGCCGCCACGGACGGAGGGGACGCCGCTGCGCCAGAGGGACCCCCGGGCGACCGCCCCGCCGAGGCCTCAGCGGTGCCCCCTGCCCAGGCCGTGGCTGCGGGTGAGGCCCTGCAGATGCCCAAGGCGGCGGCAGGCGGGGTGCCCAACATCGGCTTCGTGGGCGAGCCCCCGCCCTACGCGCCACCAGACCCCAAGGCCGAGCACCTGCTCTACCCGCCGCCCTTCCCGCCGCCGGTGCTCTTCCCGCCGGTGCCCGCCACCCCGGCCCTGTACCCGCCGCCCGCGCCACTCTTCCCTGCGCCTGCTGCGCAGCCGCTCTTCACAACCTTCCCGGTGGTGAGTCAGCCCGTGGGGACCCCCCTCTTCCCTCAGCCACCCTCGCAGAGGTTGCGGCTGTGCCCTGGGTCGCAACAGAAAAGGGCTGCCTCCGTCTGGGGCGTGGGTGAGCCTGCGCGGCCTCGCAGGGGCCGGGGTCATTTGAGCTGGGTTCTGTGGGGTGAATAGGAGAGTTCAGGCAGAGGCGAGGAGGAGAGCCCACCACGGGCGTTGCAGGGATGCCAAGGCTGGGTGCATCCTGGGAGTGAGGGCTGTTGGTCCAACTTACTGGGGAGAAGATAGGAAGAGGTGGGGGTTCCACTGTGAGGGAGACCCCAGGGCCTTTGGTAGCAGATGAGTTGATATAGAGTTTTAGAAAAACCCTGGCTGCCTGTGGAGGAGAGCTTTGAGGTTCGCCCCCTGGTGTGGAACAGTGGAGAACTTGGAGATCCCGGGGGCTGCAGCCCGGCTGGGGGAGGCTGGGCGGTGGCTGACCATGCCCTCACCCCGTGTCTGGGGGCTGCGGCCCGCCCCCTTCCCACGCCCTGGCCTCCGCCCCTGCAGTACAGTGGCCCCGTGGCGGGCGTGCCGGCCCAGGCCCCGGCGCCGGCGGAGCGCAGGCCCCTGCCCAAGGACTACATGGTGGAGTCCGTGCTGGCAACCGTCTTCTGCTGCCTGCTCACCGGGCTCATCGCCGTCGTCTACTCCCACGAGGTAGGAGGGCAGGGCGGGGGTGCCCTGGTGCAGCCTCCCGGCCTGCCGTGCCGGGTCCCCCGTGGTCCCCCCCACCCCCGAGAAGCCTGGCAGAATTGGCAGATCAGTGCCCAGTTGTCTGGGGTCCTGGCCGCTGCCTCTGTCGTCTCTGCCCCCTGCCACTCAAGATCTGCTCTGGAAGATTCCACTGAAACAGTTCACACTGAGGCGTGAACGATCCAGGCCCAGGGAGCTGCCCATCCTGTGGAGCTCGTGCTTCAACTTAGATTTTTTAAAAAATAATTTAACTTGGGCTCTGCTGGGTCTTGGTTGTTGCTTGGGGCTTTCCCTAGTTGCAGCGGGCAGGGGCTCCTCCTGGGTGAGGTGTGTGGGCTTCTCTCATTACGGAGCAGGGGCTCTCGGGCACGTGGTCTTCAGTAGTCGTGGTTCCCGGGCCCTAGAGCACGGGCCAGTGTTTGTGGCGCATGGGCTTAGTTGCTCCATGCCTGTGGGGTCTTCCCAGATCAGGGATCGAGCCCACGCCTCCTGCATTGGCAGGCGGATTCTTTACCACGGAGCCACCAGGGAAGCAGTAGCCGCTTGTGTTTAATCTGTCCATCTGCCTGTTTATTCTACCCACCCACCTCTGTCCGTCCTTCCCAGCTACCCACCTCTCCATCCACCATCTGTCTAGGCTGCATCTATGCATCCACCCACCCCGTTCATCAGTAATGCGCCCGTCTGCCTACTCAGCTGTCTGCCTGTCTGTCCATCCACCATCCACCCCCCTGCCATCTCGATAACACCCTTTCTTTTTCCTCCCTCCCCGCCATTCCTGACCTTGACTCAGCCCTGGGGGACTCTGCACGACGCTGTCCTAATAGAGTAGGAAGTCCCTGGGGCTTCTGCTCAAGGCTGACCTGAGTCTCCCGGAGGTCAGGCTCCCCGGTCGTAAGCAAGATGGGACCTGGGTGGGGGAGCTGAGTGAGGACCGGGCCCCTCAGAGGTGCGATTCTGGAGGCTGCTGCCTGCCTGTCAGTTCTGGGGGGCCCTGGGTTGGGTCACTTAACCTCTCTGAGCCTTTGTTTTCTCATCTTCAAAGAGGGGCCAACGATGATACTGAAATCAGGGTTGTGCGGATGGTGAGGGATGGGGCCTGGAGTGCGGATGTGGGTCAGGCCCGCGGCCAGTGCCCGGGATGGCTGCCACCGCCTCGATGGCTGCTGCTCCCGCGTGAGCCGTGGCCAGGACCAGGCCCGACCGCCTCGCGGGGTCAGCTGTCCAGTCTCTGCACTGGGGCTGGGCGGGCTCCGGGGTGTCTGGGTCCGCTCACCACTCCTCTGGTCTCGTTGCAGACCCGCGCGGCCCTGGCCCGGGGAGACCTGGCCCAGGCTCAGGAGGCCTCTCGCAAGGCCCGCTCGCTGGTGCTCTTCAGCTTGCTCTTCGGGGTCTTCGTGTCCACCAGCTGGGTCATCTACGTGGTGGTCGCGCTCTACCTGCCCTGAGCGCTGCTGGCTCCCCGGCGACTCTGGGTCCTCAGCCAGGCTCCTTCTGTGGACATGAATTCTCGCCGGCGGCCTCCTGTCACCCAGAGGGGACCTGGGCGGGGGGCCGGGAGACAGTGGACTCTGTGGCCCACGGCACCCCTGTGGCCGGGCCTCAGCGTCCTGGCCCGAGGGGGCCCCAGTGCCCTGGAGGCTCCAGCTGGGGGACGGGGGCCAGCGCCCCCACAGCCTGGCTTTCGCCTGACCTCGAGGGACCAGCGCCCTCCTCTCCGCGGAGCCGCTGGCAAGGACGTTGCCACCTCTGGCTGCCTGTGCCCGCAGGGCTGAGCTGCCCGGCTCTCGCCCTCCCTGTGGGAGCTGAGAGGAGCAGCCTCCCCTCTCCTGGGTTGCCCCCACCCAACCCGGGAGGCAGCCTCTCTCTCTCCTGCTGACCCCTTGCCCTGAAACCAGGCCACGGTGTCCGGTCAGTGGACTTACAGCAACATGCCGGGCGGAGCGTCTCGTGGCTGCTTTGGGGAGTTGCTGGTTCTGGTCCTTTCAGGGGCTCTGGGGCCCCCCCTCCTGTCCCTCCTGGATGCTGTTCTCTGCCCACGCTGCCATGGTGTCTGACTCGTGCACGTGGGCTGGAGCAGGGCGGGAATTTCTGTTGGGTCTTTCCTGGCCAAAGGTGACGGGAGAGTGGGGATGTCCACCCGCATGGAGAGGAGGAGGGGACCCCGGCAGAGTCATGAAGGTGGACAGCTCTGGGGGCGCTCTCTGAGCGCCCACTGGGTGCTGGTCATCACGCCGGGACCTGCCAGGACCGGGAACTGAAGCAGGATCATGTCCCATCTCAACTCTTGGGATGCTTCTGGAGCCCAGGAGATGCGGATGCAGAAGCAAGAGAGGCAGGATGCTGCGTGGAGCTTGAGAGGTGGCCTCGTGGTCCAGGCTGCGGGGCTGGCCCAGATTAAGGCTCTCAAACCCTAAGATGCATGATTGTCATGAAAGAGGAGGAGGAAACGGGTCTTAGGGGTCCATAGATGCTGGACGGCCACAGGGACTCCTGTCACTAAACTCTTTTAAGTAAAATCAAAATAGAAAGAAATCATGTAGACCAGTGTGCCGATAGCCCAAAAGCCTACAGGAAACACCTGGGAGCCTTGTTAAGGTGCAGATCCTCATTCTGTAAGGAGGGCCCGAGATCCTGCAGTTCTCATTTCTGCTTCTAGGTGCCACTGAAGCTGGTAAATGGACCAAGTGCATGTGGTTAAAACCGTTAAACCAGGACCAAGCCACAGACGCCCCCTAGAGTCTCCGATCAGCACTGTTGTGAAGTTCTAGCTAATGAAACAAACAGCAAAAAATGAAATTTGTAGTATGAAAACTAGAAGAGAAAAAATGATGCTCTGGCTAGAGTATGCAAAAGTCCATGAAAAATTAGAATAAGAGGACTCAGAAAAGTGATTATAGTAGTCAGTAGCAATATTCAGTTAAAAGTGGAAAAAATTTAAAATTCCACTCAATACTGTGATTAAAAAAATAGTAAAACTTAGGCATAAATTTAACAGGAAGAAAGAGAACAATTTTTTTTGAAGGAAAGTACATGTGTTATAAGGCGCCATACAAGGAGTCTGGGACAGCTAGTGTTTATATAAAAAAAAAAAAACCAACACCTCTGAAAAAAGCAAAGAACAAAATATCTGCATAGAAAGATGTAATATGTTAAAACATCGAGCTTTCTTAAACAGATTTAATGAAATTTCAACAAGAAAGCCAAGCTTTTAAAACTGACAAAGATGTTTAAAAAATTAATATGGAAGGAAAATGTGCAAAAATGACTAATTTTTCAGTTTAATGAGGGAAGACTATCTTCACCAGATTTTGAAACTTACAATAAAGCTATAGTAAATGCAGGGTGCAGCATGGCTTTGCCACAGAGCTGGAATGGTGAAACAGAGAAGCCCAGAAAACATTTCAAGTGTATGTGGGACATTAATTTCTGGCCCAGATAGCATTTTAGTTGAGTGAGTCAGGGCAGACAGTAAGGAGAGTTGGCTAACTGGTTGGAAAAAAACTGATTGTCCTCCTGTTATATAAATAAATTCCAGACGGGTTACAGAGCTAAGTAGTATGAAATAGAGGTGTACTAATCTTATATGAGGCTTAGGGGAGTACTTTTATAACTTCAGGGTGTTAGGCAGTGTGGAAGGGGTGGCCTCCTAGAATCTGGACTACTGTCGCAGAAAAGACTGGTAGCTTTGAGTTCTGTGTGTTAGGGAAGAACTTACTTAAACCATCGGATGATTTTTACTTATCAGATTGGAAAACGTTAGAAAGGTTGATTCCGGGGTTGGTGAAACCTTGACCCACTCATTTGTTGCTAGGGAGGTGTGCATTGCTACCCTCTTTGTAGAAAATAGACTGTGGTATCTATTAGTAGTATGTGTACTAGGTATTAATGTGCACGTACGTGCAAAGACCAGAGTCTGGAAGGATGTGTTCCAAACTGCTGAGAGCGACTGCCTCTGGGGAGGGACTGCACTGGGAGGGTTTGTGCAACACATGGCTGGATTTTAAAATGCGGGTGTATTCACGTGTTGTGTGATTAAAAAGCAACTGGAAAAACTGTGTGTGCCTTTTGACCCAGTCATTCCAGTTTGGGGATCCTCCGGGGTGGAAGAAGCCGTCCGTTTCAACAGACGTTTGTCAGTGTTGTTACTGAAGGGCCCTGGAGGAGAGCTGGCCGGGGCAACTCTGGAATGAAAGCTCTGATGACATTGGGGCGTGTCCTGATTTGGGGGATGTTAAAATGCACATGTCTTAGCGTTGCGGCAGTGTGGTGTCGAGGTGTTTGACTCGGAGAGTGGTAGAGACAGGCCTTCCTGAGAAGGCTGAGTGTGGATGCAGCCGTCCCCAGGTGGTTCCATCATTTTGCGTTCCCACCAGCACCTGTTGGGGGTCCCCGTTGCTCCACAAACTCATCAGTCCCTGGTTTTTGTCAATCTTTTACATTTTAGGGCTTCTGGTTGTTAAAACTATGGTGATATTTTATTGTGGCTTTAATTTGCATTTTGCTGACTAATGGATGATACTGGGCTTTTTATCACATGCTCATCAGCTATGATGATGATCTGATGATCTCTTCAGATATGATCTCTTTTAAACTTTTATTTATTTTTGGCTGCTCCGGGTCTTTGCTGCCCTTGAGTGGGTTTTCTCTAGTTGTGGCGAGCGGGGGCGCCTCCTCACTGGGCTGCGGGGGCTTCTCACTGCGGGGGCTTCTCTGGCTGCAGGGCGCGGGCTCTGGGGGCGCGGGCTTTGGTAGTTGCAGCTTGCAGGCGCAGTCGTTGCAATGCATGGGGCTTGGTGCTCTGCGGCATGCGGGATCTTCCAGGATCAGGGATGGAAACTGTGTCTCCTGAGTTGGCAGGTGGATTCTTCCCCACTCCGCCACCAGGGAAGTCCTGGATCGCTTGTGCTTGTTCAAGTCTTATGCCCGTTTGTAGGCTGGATTGTCTTTCTCTTATCAGCTCAGAGGAGTTCTTTGGTGCTTTTTAGGTATGAGTCATGTGTTAGATTCAGGGATCGCAAATACCTTCTACTTTTGTAGCTTCCCTTTTTTACTTCCTTAATGGTGTTGTTGGATGAAAAGAAGTTCTCAACTATAACCATGCAGATTTATCTTTTCCTTCAAGGATTATGTTCTTTTGGAAAATTTTTAGGAAAATTTTCCTGCTCCTGGGTCATGATCAGATATTCTCTTTTGTTGTCTTCATGATCTAGAAGCTTTATTGGTCTCTTTTCACATTGTTTTCAGATTTCCACCCAGTGGGACTAGATCCTAGAAATCCATTTGTCTGTTTTGGTTACCACAGTCATACTTCATGTCTGAGACTTGATATAAGTCTTGCCATTGAGTGGTCAAGTCCTGGCACCATCTTAGAGGGTCTGATCATTTAAAATCATTTGTATTTACAGTAAATTTTAGAATTAACCCTTCACCTCCTAAAAGCACTGGGATGTTGACTATGATCGCTTTAAGTCTATAGATTCATATGGGGACAAGAGACATCTTCACAGCACTGTTTTTCCAACAAACATGGTGAATCTTCTTATGTTTAACAGGTTGTTTAAACAGTTCCCTTGATTTTTTTTTTTGTGTATGTATGCAGAAAATCTGCACATCTTTTGTTAGTATCCATAGAGTATTTAATTTTTTTGCTCCTTTAATAAATATGATCACTTTTTATTTCTTTTGTTACTTGTTAGTGTACAAAAATGCAGTTGATTCTTGGAACCCAGCACCTCTTTCTAAATTCACTTATTCTGGTAACTTATCTGGAGATTCTGTTGTACTTTCAGTTTGCACAGTCTCTTCTATATATAGTATTATAATCTATGTATGTAATGAGTTTTTTGTTTCCTTTCCTGTCCTTACTCTCCTTACACTGGTTCGAACCCCAAGTACAATGCCAGGTGGCAGAGCTGACAGTGGCAGCCTTCTTTTTCCTTGTTTCAAAAGGAAGGCTTCCACATATCCGGTTCTTAAGGAAGTAGTCTTCTATTTTGCTAAGAGTTTGTGTGTGTGTGTTTGTGTTTAATTACGCTTTCTAATCATGCACGGGGGAATTCCCTGTGGTCCTGTGGTTGGGATGCGAGCCTCCATTGCAGGCAGGATCCCTGGTCAGGAACTAAGATCCCGCAAGCCACTCAGCTTGGTGCAAAAAAAAAAAAAATCCATGCACAGATATTGAATTTTATTCCTTTTACATGTCTACTGAGAAAATTATCTCACTTATTCTGTTAATATGGTGACTTCATGTTGATTTTCAAATATTAAGGTAACTTTTCACTCCTGGAACAAACTATCTTGATCATGACGTATTATCCTTTTTTATATTTGATGGACTGTTTCTAGATATTTTGTTTAGGATTTTTGGTACCTGTGTTCATAAGTGAAGTTGATCTGTAATTTCATTCTTATTTGTGACTTTGGTAGCAGGGTTGTTACATGAGTT